TTCGATCACTGTTACTCTATATTATATACATTTGAAAAAGAAACTGTCAGTCAATTAATTCTTTCATTTTAAAGATAGCTGTCGCCTCATGGAGAATGCTAAGCCTATCTTCTGCTTTTCCTTAACTATGGAAGGCATTTGCGTTAAATGAGGAGGTTCTTTATTTCCTCAGGATCCATTGATGCCGGCTGGTTATTCCCCAGCTAAAGTCATAATCTTGTTTGCAACATCATAATCATTTACCCAGCCAGCAATCAGGGTGTCACTAACAAAGAATTATGACTTTAGGTGAGGAATAAACTACAGGCACAGATGAACTCTGAGGAAATAAACATTGTTTTTATGCAAATGTGGCTAGTAATAAATAACCAGGAAAGGAAATGATGATGAGAGAGTATCCTATAAAAGTCAGGCTGGGGAGGTGTGAGTGGAATGGTTTAGCATTGTCCCTCTCTGAAAGTATGGTGTACAGAATGTTCACAACAGACAGTACAACTTTAGCATTTAAAACTTTTTAAGTTTTATTTGAGAGTAGAAATTTTAAAAATACAGAATAATATTTCAGAAAGGTTTTAATACCATGAATATAGATTTATAACCCTAGCGAAGTATCATCTCTCTGTGTCCTTCACTCTAATTGCCAACTGTTCAGTGAAAGCAGTTTTGATGTTGATTTTGGTGTTTTTTTTGTACCATCTTGACCCTAAATTTACTTACTGACCCACCATTTGTTGATCAAGTATCAGTGATGGTGACTTGAACTCTAGAGTGATAAGCACAGCAGAGTCTTTTGAAGTTCTGAAAGCATTTGCTCACTTACTGCTTCATTTGATTCTCATGGCGCAGCACTTGATACCCTGAGAAAAAACCTTATTTCTCTCTCTGCATATATCATGCTGTCTCCGTTCAAGAAAAGGTAGGGCCTCAAATATCTTGGAGGCTGCATTCTGAACATTCTTTCCTTCACCAATGTGCTCCCAGTTTGCAGGTGGCATCTGTGTACTTGGTCCAGGTAAAATGTTTAGTCTGCTTGAAAGATGTATCTTCAGAAGCATAGGGATGCATTAAAAACTATTCAGTATTATGAAGAAACAAGTGGGAGGAATGAATGGAGAGGAAACCAAGGGAATGAAGGTGCATAGAGACCAAACACAACTTTTTGAGAAGGTTCATTTTGAGACCTAATAGATGAAAACCACATTTTCCCAAACCTGAATGAGATGAGCCTTGCTTAATCTCCTTTTGAAAACTGCCTCAGAGACAGAGAGAACTGATTCCTTTTGTTTTCTGAACCAGTGGATTATTTAGAAAGTCTAAGAGGTGAAGCCGTTTTGTAAAAATGGTTCATCCATGAAACTTTTCTTTGCATCTTTTTTCCCCATAGCATTAAATTATCTGAGGGTTTCATATAGCACTGGCCTATGTTGTGTACATGGCTTTCGTGAAAGATGGAATGCTTCACCTCAACTCAAAAAGAGATGCCCAGTCCTAGGTGACACATCTATAGTGGAACTTCTATACCTGATTCATGGCACATACAGACTGGGGGTAGAGAGAAAACTATTGCATCCCTCAACTCTCATCAGTGATGCCTCCTTATACAACAGAATGTGATATATGTAAAAGGCCACAGCTAGTCAACTTTAAAAGAATAAGAGAGCCAGGCGTGGTGGCACATGCCTTTAATCCCAGCACTCGGGAGGCAGAGTCAGGCAGATCTCTGTGAGTTCAAGGCCAGCCTGGTCTACATAGTGAGTTCCAGGACAGCTGGGGCTACAGGGAGACCCTGTCTCAAAAAGACCAAAAAAAAAAAGAAAAAAAAGAATAAGAGACTGCAGAATGTGCGGGTATCCCTGGAGAGCACTCCTATATCAAACCTCTCCCACCCACGGCTCAGGGACCATAGTGGAAGAGGGGCAGAAAAATTGTAAGAGCCAGCTCCTGTTCATGAACACAGGGCAGGAGAGGCAATGGTGGCATTGAGCACCAGACCCAATCATACTCAATCAGACAAGGGCCCAGAGTGGAGTGAGGGAAATGGGTGTCAGGTCAGCTCTAGTCTTGGAACTATTGGAGACTGATTACTACTGGGTGAGGGAGAGTAGGCCTTACCAACAATCACTAGTTAGGCTGACTAGACTCAGGTGGATGAATGTGCAGTGAAGGACATCTACGTACAAATGCTTGACTAGATAGGACTTAACATGTATGGTGGAATACATGAGGTCCAGTGAGGTGGGGTGGGGGATACGGATTGCGAAGGAGATCTAAAGTTGATTAAGAACTATTGTATGAAATGTACAAAAGCTCAACAAAAAAAATTTCAAAATCCCATCCTGTGTTTTGCCTCCATTCAAACATCCTGCTGTTTACTTTTCTTGGAACATTTTGTTTATTCACCTTCCCTCCAAGGTGGAGGTTTATATCAGAGGAAAGTGGTACAGAACAAGGTAGAAGTCGACACAGGTTCCTGTGAAATCATTTGGGCATTTATATAACAGGTGCTAAGGGTACATGTCGCTAACTTTAGTATTAGTCACATTGGGGGAGTGCTTCTGGGGTACTCACTGTTCCACTGTAAGAACTGGGTGCAATCCTTTCAAAGCAATTTTAAGCTTGAGCTTCAAAATGAGTGAATACAATGAATTTGCTTCAGGCAAAGACGCTAATCTTACTTTGCTTTTATATCCTCATTAGTCTAATAGCAGCAGAATTAAGGAACTTTTCTAAATGTGTAGTTATGGGCAGCAATGAAGGCAGAAGTAACTCTGGTCCTCTCTGCCACTGAAGAAAGATCCTTGGCTATGGTCCAATTGTGAAATGTCACCCACAAGTTCATAGATTTGAACACTTGAACCCCAACTAATGCATCTATTTTAGGAAATTCTAGACCCCTGAGGACCTGGGGGCTCATTGGCAGACATGGAAAACTAGCCATGGGACTTTGAAGGGTTCAACCCTCTTGGTTCTGATCTCTGCTTGCTACTGTGACATCAGGAGCCCTGGCCCCATGCTCCCCACTCTGTGAATTCCACCATGCCTTCCCTGCCACGAGGGACTGTATCCTCTGAAACTATGAGCCAAAATAAACCTTGCTCCCTTAAGCGGCTTCTGTCAGGCATGCTGCCCCAGCAACGAGAAAAGTCAATTACAAGGTCTATGTGCAACATTCCGTATTTTAACTTTTGGCCAGAGCTGCATTAACAATAGACAGTTAACAGCATAATGTTGGCTTTTCAGAGCTTCATTTTTTTTGAGACAGGGTTTCACTCTATAAGCCAAAATAATCTGAAATTCACTATGGAGCCCAGGTTGACCTAGAATTCTTGTGTTATAAAAGGTTCAGTACCATGGAAAATTCATTGTGGTACTTTGTTGGTTGGTTGGTTTTGGTGTTTTGTTTTTTTTACCTCAGACACAACATATTCACCATCTTTGGTGAGAGATTACCTTGGAGCAGTAACCCAGTAGGCATGGCAGCTAATGGAGCAGAACAATGTGTAATAGCTATGCCTATGGTATTGCTGTTAGAGTTATTGACACCACTTGCTAGAAAGAGGAGAAAATCATGGGACCCTTATCTGAATTTGAAGCTATTACTTCCCTTCCCTCTCCCAACTGCAAATGACATAAGTCTCTACCTCTGTGTTCCTAACTTGTAGGTGCCAATTCAATTTATTGATTCCATGGAGAAAGTACTGAAGACAAATTTACACTGAGCATCCATCAGTTTTACATAAAGAGTTACTAACCAGAATCATATAAAAGACAAGAGAATTTGAACCATAGGCATAGTATGTGTTGCTGGAAGTTTAGCCAACTGTCATAGACATTTTTTTCCTGAGTTATCAATCTCCATAAATCAGGGAAAGCTGCATTTAAAGTTCATAAAGTGACAACCACTAAACCACCCTCCATGGGTTCCCTTGTCTTTCTTAAATCTTTGGGTTCTAAAATCATTTGAAATCTCAAAAACCTACCAACCCGGTGATTTAGAAGTAGCTAAGGATATGAAAACTAGGATAATTCCTTTGAGCATCACAAGTCTGTCAAACAGCCTATATTTAGGGTTGTTTAGAGAAATCAAAACAATGTATATACATTTGTTGAGGGGGGAGAGAGGGAGAGGGAGAGAGAGAGAGAGAGAGAGAGAGAGAGAGAGAGAGAGAGAGAGATTCTAAGGAATCTATTGACAGAGTTGTATTACCAAATAGAAATTGTAGACTAGTAGCAGACTGGAGACCCAGAGAGGAATTGTTGATGTAACCCTTGCCAAAAGGGTGCCTGAAGGCACAGTTCCCTCTCCCTCAGAGGACCTCTGTTGTTTGTTATTAAAGCATCTGAGCTGATTAGAAAAAGCACATGTGTATCATGGAAAATATTCTAGTTTAAAATATCTAATGATAAAACCTGCACATCAAAAGATAATTCCCCAAAATATCTGTAAAAATGTTTAAACAGTCGTCTGATTCCAAAGACTAGCCAAGCTGGCACAGGAAATTTACCAGTTTATCAATCTGCCTAAGCTCTGAGGTCTGTTTTGCATTTTACTGGAAGTGGAACCGCTATTATACCCACCTTATTTTGGGTCTTCTTTTTCTCTATAGCATCAACTTTAGAAGTTACCATAGCTCCTATTACACAGTGCCAAAACCCTAATAAATAAAAGCATTCTACTTTTAGGCTCAACTGAGACTGTGGTGACATAGCATTCAAGTACACATGACTTTTCTGACTTAACTATTTCAAATATAATGGAATAATGAAGCATTGCCTTAAATACAAGTATGTTCTATCCTCTGATGCTCCATACACATAGACATGCCAATTATTTGACTAATATAATACCACATTATAAATTAGTGTTTGACATGCAACTTGATATCTGGTAGTAGAAGAATTTAAACTTACAATGTCACTAACCTTTATTAGTTTGTAAGCTTTGGAAGGAGTAACAGAGACAATAATGTGACACTCAGGCAAGTAATCGTTAGGTTGGTTGGTTTATTCCGGGTACAAAATGGGAAAGTCATGAGTGAATGGCTATGAAATGCTCTTTGCCCACGGCAGTGTAACAACATGTTGCTTGTCCAGAAAATCTTCTTCCTCCTCATCTGTTCTGTAATCATCAAGTGACAGCAACGACTGCACTGTGGAATCTCTTTTAGAGGAGCTGGAAATACATTAGAAGATCAATACACGATTCACAGAACAAAGTATTAGCTTTCATTTGTCTTCTGATTACTACTGTGTATGTTGAATTCACTTAAAACAGACACACTGGAGCCATAAATTTTGATGCACTCAGTATATACTTAAGCTACTTTGAATGAGATTTTTTTCTATCATTTTCCCTCTTACAAGAAATAAAACCACAATTATACAAAAGAGAGGACTTTTATGGTCTCCAGTACTGGCTCTCCTTGATGATTCAAAAGGTACTTCTGAAACCTGCAGAGCCTCAGGGTCATCATTAAGACCATTCATCATTTTATTGGCTGTTCAATAGAATCCCAATGAGTAGACTGTCAGATAAATCACCACTGCCTCTGTGTACACTAAATTAGGTCTATAACCAGTGAAGCTATAGCAAAGCCAAATAATTACTTGATATTTTACTTGTTTTTGCATTTTTTCTGTGGAGGGTATGCACTGTCCAAAACTCTGTCATACAGGTGTTGGAAATATAGAGATAAATGCAATGTGGGGAAGGGAATCAAGTATATACCACTCAGATGCTTTGGTCTAAATTTATTATATTTACAGCCTATGTATGCAGCAAACGTTAAAATGTTCACACTGTGGTGGACATGACATCATTGCAGATTATTTTATCAAGTTCAACATAGGCTGAATCGGCTACTCATTAACTGATTTGCAGAGCAGTGCAGATATCATTTTATTTTAAGAGAATTTTCTTTCATCTTAGGAGAGAATACAAGGAAAAAGCGCTCTTTGTATAAATCTTTGTAAAGTACTGCTTTATACTGTTTATCACCCCTGCATTTTTAAATATGAGAAGTCTTTTATGTAGAACTAGTGGTTTTATTGTCTTTTTAAGTGAAAAACAGGAACTTCATATTAGCTTTAAAAAAACTGTATTGTGTTGAAGAGCAAACAAAACTCAAGATCTCAGGTGAATTATTTTTTTCCTTCAGAAAGACTGAAGCAAAAACTTAATTCCCTATTACAGCAGCATAGGACTCAAACCAACCAAAGGGACATGCAATTCTAGATGACTTTATTTTACATTTATCTTCATTTTTCTAAAAAGAAAAAAATCCTCCTCCAAACTACCAGCAAGCCTGAAGCAGAGGGACACACTGCTTTTCTGAAGTTTCTCTGTTTTACACTCATCCCCATTTCTGACACTACATCACATAAGAACAAAATGGTACAAATTAAAATTCTGGTAACACTGTAGACTTAATTTCAAGAAAGAAACTTCTCAATATTCTATTCTTAAGATTTGGCAGTGGGTAATATTCTAGTAATGTGAACTGTTGGAATTTATTAGGTTAATTAATTCAAGTAAGGCAATTAGTTTTCAAGACAAGGAGAAATGCCAAGGACTTATTAATTTTCATTTTTTTCCTTTTGAGTTTCATATATACAGCAAAGAACTGTCTTCATATTAAAGTAACACGCTTATAAACTCTTTACTAAATCCTGATAATAGGTCAGCAAAGGCTCAAGTATTTTGAAAAGAAAATACTTTTAAATTGTATAGGTGGGCAATTTTTCATTATATAGGAACAATAACTAATTTAACCTTGTCCCAATCTTGCTATGCACCATCATTCTGCATAAAGCTGCAGGCTTAACTTACCTCAGCTCCTCAGCTCCATAGGGACCCTTCACACATGAGGTGTTAAGGAAGTCTGTGGACATCTCACTTAAATTCACCAAATGGTGCTTGAAAGATGGTGACTCTTCTGAGGTTAGACTGTGAAGTTTTTCTGAAGGATCTGAAACTTTTTTTCGCATAGTGTCAGCACATAAATTCAAGAAACAAACGGGCAGCAGATTTATAACCTTCCATCAATTTTCTAATGTTTGTGGATGGTGACGTCTGATCTGAGATTCCCAAGGGCACATGATAAGAAGTTCTATGATGCTTAGCGAGTGTGAGGCCCTGTGTTTAATATGTAGCACCCAAAGGAAGAAAGAGAGGAAGGAAGGAGAGAGGGAAGTAGGAAAGGAGGGAAGGAGGCAAATAAACCAGGACATGGTATCTAGTCACAACCATACTGCTTTCGAGATATACATTCTACTTATGAAATATGTCAGATGTTCTAAGAGTTCACAAAACTTATGCAGCTCAACTTGTACACACATTAGATACTTTATTATCATTTGTTTGTTTTATAAAGCTATTCTATCTTTTTCTGGCTTCCTTGCTTTGAGTAAATAATCTTTTGTATTTGGAGGAGGAGGAGAAGGAGGAGGGGGAATTAAACCTCAAATTTTATTCCTTTGTATCCAACTGGCTTATTCAGTAGCCTAGGTGTGGACAAATAGTGCATGTAAAATCGACAAGATATTTAGGCAAGTGTATCCTTATATGAGTAACTATAAATCTAAGTATGCATATAAATGTTCCTATGTTGGATTTTAATGCATTGTTTTAACACTGATATAAAGTCATCTAATTTTTCTTTTTGGACTCAGTGTCTCATGTAGCCCAAGCTGACCTCACGCCTCCCTGAATACTGGGATCACAGATTTCAGCCACCATGCCTGTTTATATGTTGCTGGGGATGGAATCCAGGGCATTGTGTATGCTAGTACGCTACCAATTAAGCTATATTCCCAGCACATAAATCCTTCTAACTTGTGCACTACATATACTATGATGACTATTGGTGCTCTCATAATCACTTTTACAAGAGTGCCAGATAGCCATCTCCTGAGCAGAAGAAACAAACACCAAACTTTCAGTATTCTCACACTAGACAGAACAGATTTTTAGTTTTGATGGTTCATAGTAATTTGCAGGTTTTGAGCAAGCAGATTCCTATATTGAAAGAAAATTACACTATTCCTATTGAAAGATAGACCTCAGTATATTTATGGATTGCAATATTCTTAATTATTTAGCTCAGTGTTTTCAAGTTATGATACATAGATAAACTAAGTTTGAGATGAAGTTCCAACCCTGTCATCCAAAAACAATTAGGATAGAGATGCCTAATCTACCTTTATATTTGAGGACTCTAGATAACATATACCTTGAAACAAAAATCCTAAAATATTATTGTCTAAAAATTTTAAAAACACATGAAAAGCTCCATCCTCACTTGTTAGATTAGAAAACTGAGCACCCAGAGAAAGTCACACAAGCACACAGTGAAAACTGGAGCTGTACCCAAGTTCCTCTAGTGAATTGGTCCTGCAGATGACTAGGCTCTAGCACTGAATTCTTTAGCTTCCAGATATTCTCTCTTCCCCTGTTTTCCACAGGAGGAAGGAAGCTCGGTACCCATAGTATATTTACATACCCCAGTGAAAAAACATACTCCCTCAGGATGGGAATCAATTCAGGATCTCAATGGACATACTAAAGACAGTCATAAAACCTAGACATAAGGAATTCACCAGGAGAGGGAGGCAAACTCTGTTAGCTGTTTGAGTACTACTTGAATGATCACAGAGCCAATTCATACAGTGAGAATACAAGGAACCTATTCTACACAATTTTTAATTGTTAAAATTATATTTCAGAATATCTTATCATTAACAGGGACAAAGGTGAAATTATTTGAATTTAGGTAAGGAAAAATAAGAGAAAAATAAAAGTTACAGACATTACTAGTTGGTATTGAATCCATTAAAAAAAAACCTTATTCTGATTTTCTAATACAGGTCCAAGTATGGCTGGATTGACTATCCTATTGCAGTATGGAATATTCATTTTATACCTAGAAATTTACTGGCTGAAAATAATATATATATATATTCCAGTGTATTTTTATATGTGTGTATTATGTGTGTATATGTGTGGAGAGGTGCACAAAGGTACATATGCATGTGTATAGGTGTGGGGCCAGAGGACAGCCTCTTGTATCACCATCACAATACTGTCCACCTACATTATAACAGGGTCCCTCAATGGTGAGCCTGGAGCTCACCAATTAGGTCAGGCTTGCTGGCCAGTAAGCCTCATGGATCCTCATGTCTCGAGTACACAATGTTGAGATTAGAAGCAGGCACAACCACACCCTGCATTTTTTAATGTGAGATATGGGGCTCAAACTCAAGTTCTCATGCTTGTAAACATGCGCTTAAGTATCTGAGCCATAAGCCATCTCCCCAGCACTAAATGCCATATTTGTGAAGTTGTGGCAACCAGAATGCACACTCCGTACCCTGTGAGAGCCGGTCCTGACTCCTCAGCCTCGTTCTTCGGCCTTTCATCTCTCTTCCCCTCTGCTACTGTATCTGGTCTGTCTTAGCCTCCCTTTGCTTATTCTTCTTATGTTTTCATCCTTCTGGCTCTTAAGTGATCACAGTACTGAAGGGAATATTTCAGATTATTTAGTGGCACTGTCCTGTGATGGGTGCAGATTTGCCTGGGTTTGGGTCTCGTCTCTGTGGCATATACCAAGAAACAGTGGTCTGTTATTGCACTGCCCACTGCCTTATGTGCTAAACCTGAAAAGGAGGGATTGTGACTAATACTTGCTGCAACTGTCTCACTGAGTAGATTTTGAGATTAAATGAAGGGTCACGTATGGTGGTAGCTGTCTATAATTCTAGCAATTGGGAAGATAAGGCTCGAACATACGGACTTCATGGCCAGTCAGGACTAGGCAGCCAGAACTTATCTTTACAAAAATATCAAATGGGGGCCAGTGAAATAGCTCAGGTGCTTAAGGCACTTGCTTCCCAAACCTGACTGTCTCAGTTCAAACCTCAGAATCCACATAAATGAGAACTGACTCCCAGGGGTTACCTCTGCACTGCGGGGTGTAGTATATGTATGCACGTGCATGTATAAGTATGTGTTTGTGTGTGTCTGTGTGTTTTTGTGTGAGACCAACACACACACATACAGATTAAATAAATGATGTCTTAAAATTTTTTCAAATGAAACAACTTCGCATATAAAACACATGGTCACTACCATAATGTGATGAAAAGTTTCATTGGTATTCGTTCTTCCATTTTTTTAAACACCTACACCCAAGTTTTCTATAATTTAAAGTCACCTTAAAGCAAGATGGTTATCATCATAGCCCTGGTGATTTTGCTGTCTTTTTAAATGGAATTTAATTCATTTGATAACTAAAAGTTCCTGTTGCATTAGCACTTCAGCTGAACACGTTACTTGGTAGTCAAGCTATGAACAGACTCCAGGTAGGAAGACAGAGCATTACTATTTCATTTCACAAACAGAATGGTTACAGTGGTTATCCAGGCTGATTTCTAGAAAAGGGACATTTGCCTCTTTAATTACTTCACTCAGTTAACTACCTGTGGGCTTGCACAAACATAAAGTTGCTATGGGAACATCAGGTTCTCAAGGCCCTTTAGACCACAATTCAGATGCGTTTGAAACAAATTAATCATTTTCTACTAGAAAGAATGTACATACTGGGGCTTGGTTACAGGGTGAAACAAGTTCAGAGCCCTGTGTTTGGTCTCCAGTATCCAAAGAGGAGGAGAAAAAGAAGTAAATAGTTTTAAATGCATTATTACTAATTCTGCTTCACAATGCATATTTTCTGACATTTTCTGAATTTCTCCGGCTTGCAACAGTATTCAAAAACTGACAAGGTGTCACAGTAAATAAATCGTACTGACATGTCGAGTCCACTAATAATGTAACTGTTGCTATATATAATGATATTGGTAGAAGGAAAAATAAATGCTATGACCTATCACTATCTATAATCAGCAACACAGTCCAGAAAAGAGAATTTCAGAAGAGAAACAACTTTTGAAGTCGATTAAAAATTGGGTTTATCTCACCAGACATGGTGGCACATGCCTTCCGGGCCAGATGGGGCTACAGAGAGACCCCGTCTCAAAAAACAAAATAAAAAATAATTGGGCTTATCAAGAAAATTCTACCTTTTATATGTATGGAATACCCCCCAACTGTTTCTTGAATATTCGAAAGTTTTTTGAGGATTTATGACTAATAGTTTTAGGCACAGTTAGTGTATGGGAAGATAAATTTTCATAAATATAATATTTCCGTATAATTTTATTCAATTATTTTTACCAGATATTATTACAGTTCTCTTTCATATTTAGAGACTGATACAAAGAGAAATTAAGAAAGCAATGTGTCTGGGGGCTGGAGAGATGGCTCAGTGGTTAAGAGCACCAGCTGCTTTCGCAGAGGGCCTGGCTTCCAGTTCCCAGCACCCACATGGCAGCTAACTACCAGGGATCCAATGCCTCTTCTGACCTCCACAGGCATTGCATGATATGGATGCACTTACGTACATGCAGACAGTGCACTCATATACATAAAATAAGCATAATAAAATATGTAAAAAAAGGAAACTAATGTGTCTGATATGATGAGACTAATATGTGGTAGAGACTAGTCTCCAGTCAAGACCAGGCTTCCCATCATCCTGGTTTTCTGCCTATGTCCTCTGATTCACCAAGAAGGTGAATCCGATTTGCAATCTGCCCATGTAAGACTACATTGCAGCCGTTTCTCTAATGGTGCTCTGGTTGCCACAGCAGCCTGGGTCACAGGTGAAAAAGTGTTGTTGTTTTCTATCTTTTATTCTTCTCGTTTCTTGGAGTAGTTGTTTTCCTAGACTTTAAAAGCAAGTGGCTTGTCCAGAACTAACAGTAAACAAGGGAGAAGGGTTGCTGCTCACAACAATGCCTCATTCACAGAAAGCCATAGGAGTTTACATCTGCGTACAAGGCAAAATGTGTGGCTGTGGCTGGGTGAGGCCAAATCCCATGAAGAGCTGTTTCACATGCACTGTGGATAGTT